CTTTTCTCCCTCTGCCATTTTTATTTTCTTTTTACTATAATACCCATAGAAATTACTATCCAATAATCATTATCACCTGCGATATTTTTTATTCAAGTGTGTATTTTTTTTTTCTTTCAAATGGATAAAGATTAGATGAGATTAGTTCTAGGACAATGGTTGTGTGCGAGGCACCTACCCTACCTCGAAGGGGTGAGGATCGTTACACCCATAAACCCTCAGCCGGTCCCTTTGTCCACCAATTTATTGATAATAAGTGAAAGTAAACTAAAACGATACAGGCTCATAGCTTCGCCCTAAAAAAAAGAGATTACTTAATCATATTCATAATTAAAAAGCAAAATATTATTGAAACCATGGATAGAAAACACCTTGTAAAAATAAAGTTGAATCATCAAAAGCTCTCAAAGCCAAGTTCTTCAAAGTTGTGCGTAGATAATTTTAATTGATGGCTAGCCATATTTATACTACTACAAATTTTAATCCTTCCTTGAAAAGTTCTTCTAAAAACTAGGAAACAAAATAATAAAAGGATAACTTAAAATCACAATCTAAATCAACTGAGGAAATTTGTCCAACAAGTAATTTATCACGTTTCTGGACCATCAGAGTTCCAATCAGGCTCAAAACGACTTGATTTAAAGTTTAAGATGTCGTAAACATATTTATAGAATGGCCCATCACCAAAAAACACCATTTTGGACGACAAAAAGCCCAAATTAGCCCAAAACATCACTTTGACAGTTTCACGCACTGGTCCGCCATAAATTAACCACTTGGTAAAAAAAATTGAAACTTTGACACGAACATGTAGAAAATTTGTGAACGCCCTCCAATAGAAATCACTCCAAAATTTGGTCGTTTGATTACTTTTTGCTCAAGAGTAAGTTGCATGTCCTATATTAGAAATATAAATCAAAGTATCAAAATCTCACGAAAATAATTACCAAAACATATTAAGAATAAGGTAACATGTATAATATAAAATCGACTCATCATGTTTGCAACATGAGGGAGAGGGAATGTGAGAGTGAGTTGAGAGAAAGAGAGAGTGAAGACAAAGTAAGGAAGAGAGAGAGTGTCGGTGGAGAGATGATGAGGGAGAAAGAGTGTGAGTTAATTCCCTAGAAGGAAAAAGGTGAATAAACAACACATTACAGTAAATAGAAAATAATTAAATAAAGCCCATGTGCAAAAAGGTTCCACCCAATTGTATAGATAGAAAATTACCAAATTGCCCTTGACCTTAAAACACGCATTACTTCTTCATTCACATCTGATTTATGTTCCGTCTATGCTCATGACACACCCCAACCCGAAATGTCTACCTGGACTCTGAATCGAGCTATGTTGGCCTATGCCCATAAGGAGCCATAAAGTGTAGTAAGGTGGAAAATGTGAATAAATTTAAACCTAAAAGTGCCTAAATGAACCCATTTCACACGTGATGTTAGAGCATAAGTAAAGTATAGTAGAAGTAGAATGAGAATTATACCATCGAAGGTAGTCACCTATACCAACATTTGCTAAGAATCCTCATCGACACGAAAGCTTTGCCACTAAAACCTGGAGGGGCGAAAAACAAGGTGAGTGAGCCTAAAAATAAAGCTTTGTAAAACCTTTTTGAAAACATAATATTATCTTGCTATAAAACAAGTATAGTTTCCAAATATAACATACTACGTATAATATGAAAATACTTACTGTAGCCAGCAATATCTCAAGAATGCAATACTTAACAATAATTTGTAAATAAACACATAATGTCTGGCAATCACAATATAGCATAAACAAACATATCATATTGAATGCTCATCGACATATGCTGACACACGAGTTCATGCAGAGGTATGCTGACATGAACATGACTAGGTGTAAAGAAATGATTTACGCTCTAGTACTACAATCACGTGAAGACTGACACTACGCGCATCACATACGAATCCTAATTGCCTATAGCAATCTAGGACAGGACTAGCACCTACAATGGATCCAAAGTGAGCGTATGATGTGATGTGAACATACACGTGAAGATTGGCCCTGGCTCGGTGAGTACGAACACCAGTGTAGCACACAATGAGCAAATAACGTAAATATGGTCATGCCACAGTAATTCGATAATTCTAGTCAACATAATACTATTCATAGCCATAAATCTAATTAAAGCATCCCTTCATAGTAAGCTTACATGTCATCTCGTAGGATTATTTCATAATTTCTCAACAATATGACCTTTCTTATAAATGTTAATTTAATTATGGCAATCCCGTAGAGAATTTATTAATAATTATATATATATGGAAACTCAATGAGTATAAATACTACATAAAAGAAAAGACTCACTCACAAATACTTGCGAGGTCGCAGCCGTTTAAACTAGGAAAGTCGAAGTCTCCGATAGTAATTGCACCTAAACATGATATTGGGACCCATTAGTAAAACTCAACTGAGACGACTAAATTTGGTAAAATCAAGTGCGTATTTGGAATCAGAGTGTCAAAATACTCTAAGAAGGATCCCGGGCAATTTTCATAGAAAGTCAACAGTCAACCCTAAAAAATAAACCGAGACTTCGAGCCGGTCAACTACGTTAAAACTTAGGAATTCACTAAATGGATTTGCGACGAGGGGAAGGGGAAAGTGCAGGGACGATGTTGATGGGTAATGGTGGATGAGTTCGCCGGAGTGGCGAGGCTAGGTGGTGCCTCGGGTCTCAGCGCCAGTGTGGCAAAGAAAAAGAGATGAGAATGATGAGAGGGAAAATAAGTGAGGTAGCAGCAAGAGAGAGGGTAAGTGAAGAGAGAGAGGTCCGTGAGTGTTGGGAAAAAAGGAAGACACTTGGCAGAAATGGAGAGGAGAGCTTGGGTGAGGTGTGGGTCCCACGAGCCTAAAAATTTATTAAAATAATAAAATATCCCACAAAAAATATTAAAATAATCAAGGACCAAAATTCAAAATACAAAATTACTAAGGTACCCTCACGTTCGTATTTCCATAAAATTTTAACCGTAACTCTGATTTCGATTCTGATTGCGCCTACGAGTTCGTAGTAACGAGAACTACACGAATACAGTAAAATTGTAGCTCGTACACTTCACGAAATGACGGTCAACGAAAGTCAACAATCTCGCCACTAGAGGCATTCTTGTCAATTCACTCCTTTAAAATTAATAAAATCACAAAATTAGGAACGGGTTGTTACAGCTCATGTGTTGTATTGATGAGTACTACTAAAAATGGCAAGAAAGGAGATTCAAAATATGAAATGAGCTCAAATATCCACGTAAAAATTCCACTTAGCCCTTTTGCATGCATAAAATTAGGGACAGGTCGTACATATATTGTCTTAACTTAACCACATATTGCTAAATGTTGGGTTTTATCTCAAAGACCTCAGTGATACCATGAGTGCAACATGACATATATAAGTTGAATATTCATTTTTCATATACTAGATATGGGATCCTATTCTCCCACAACTATTTTTTTTACAATGCATGTCAATAATAAAATATATAAAACATAAAAAATGCAACCCAAAATTTTCAAACACACTACTTAAAGATAGGAACATTAAACTTTTTTTCCTTATGACTATGAGCTAGTGAGAGGCTAGGTCATCACACCTATAAATCCTTTATGCTTCGAAAGAAAAATCTCAACACATAATCTTCATTTAAAAAAAATATCTTGCATAAAATTTTTCATTGACATGCGTAGAAGAAAATTTTATTGCAGTATTTTATTTCTAAGAAATTTTGAAGTGGACAAGTAAGAATTCCACTTAGCCCTTTTACAAGCATAAAATACAATAAAATTAGGAAGGGGTCGTACACATATTGTCTCAATTTAACCATCTATTGTTAAATGTTGGGTTTTATCACAGTCTCAGTGATACTAGGAGTGCAACATCACATATATAAGTTAAATATTCTTTTACTAGATATGGGATCCTATTCTCTCACAACTATTTTTTGACGATGCATGTCAATAATAAAATATATAAAAACATAAAAAAAATGCAACCCAAAATTTTCTACATAAAGATAGGAACGTTGAAAAAAAAATTCTTTACGACTACAAGCTAGTGAGAGGCTAGGTCATCACTACTACAGTTTCTTTATGCTTCGAAAGAAAAATCTCGACACATAATTTTCATTTCTAAAAAATTTCATCGACATGCGTAGAAAAAAAAAATTATAGTAGTATTTTATTTTTAAGACATTTTGAAGTAGACACGTAAGAATTCCACTTAGCCCTTTTACAGGCATAAAATACAATAAAATTAGAAAGGGGTCGTACATTTATTGTCTCAACTTAACAATTTATTGCTAAATATTAGGTTTTATCATAAAGGCCTTAGTGATACTAGGAGTGCAACATCACATATATATAAGTTGAATATTCTTTTTTCATATACTAGATATGGGATCCTATTCTCCCACAACTATATCTTGACAATGCATGTTGTTTATACCATACTTAGGGCCTCCGTATTTAGACCTCGTATAAATACTCGGGGGACTCAAATGTAATTATGTAATAAAGGAACGGGCAAATATGTAATAAGTGAGGAGACCTTATTCTATAAAATGACTCATCACTCTCCTCATTTGGGGAGGTCAAGGCTTAGGCCACAAAAAATGGGCTAGAGAGCTAACTGCCTCTAGCCTTCTTGTATATTCACCATTCAGAGTGAAACGATATCAACATCAGTGTGGACGTAGCCCAAACATTGGGGTGAACCACGATACATCTTGTGTTCTTTACTTTCTTGCAGATTTACAGTCGGATTTACGTTGTTCCAAGACCTTCCGGTTTTGTGCATCAACATTTGGTGCCGTCTGTGGGAAACGACACGAAAAGCTATGTCGGTTCTCTTTCATTTTTCCATCTCACCACCGTAAAAACTTCACAACCTCCACCGTGAATCTACAGAAACCAAAAACACATACACACGGACAAAACTATTTGTTCTCGAAATCGAAAAAGGACCAGAAATGGCGTGTAGGACTGCGCTTCGCTCCGCTCTGCTAATAGAAGCGTGGCGACCCGTTCATGTCGCTTGGAGCTCCGCCTCCGCCTCGTTCAGGACCCGCAGACTCTCCTCCCCCAGGCTGAGCCGCCACTTTAGGACCCGAGACATCCACTTCGCGCGACGGACTCACCTCAACTGCTCCCACAGTGAAAACTCGCCAGCTTTGTCAAAGGACGACCAGGGCTCGCCGCAAGAGGCCATCTTGAAAGCAATTTCAGATGTGTCGTAAACAGAAGGATAGGGTTTTGATTAATTAGTACTACATGCAACTATTGTGCATCTCCAGTGTCCATATTATAGAAAGGAATATGAATTTGAAGCTCCTGTCAAGCTTTTGGACAAGATGCTACATTCAATGCCACAATCACCAGATGAGCAGCTCGTCGTTATTTCACAGGTCCTTGTGGCTGACATCAACATCGGTTATAAAGTAATAGTTAACACCTAGGTTCTCGCTTTCAAGATCATACCAAGATTTTCCTGCAAACTGTAGACCAAACCAAGATCATTGCAGCCATAAAAAAAGCTAGCAATATCAAGAGATTTTTCCCGTCGAAGTTTGGAAATGATGTGGATCGAGTGAATGCAGTTGAGCTAGCCAAGTCTTCGTTTGACACCAAGGTCCAAATCCGGCGTGTTATTAAGGCTAAGGGCATCCCCCACACTTATGTCTCCAACAACTTCTTTGCTGGCTAGTTTATGTCGTCATTGGCACAGCCAGGTGTCACTTCTCCACCCAAAGACAAAGTCACCATCTTAGGAGATGGAAATCCCAAAGGCGCCCAAGGGAGCCTCCGACGAGCAGATCAAGAGGGCTTACCGGAAGCTCGCCTTGAAGTACCATCCTGATAAGAACCCTGGCAACGAAGAGGCTGCGGGAACAAGCTGGTTTGACATGCCTGCACCAACCATGACCCCGGAGTTGCAAAAAGATCTCTAATTACTCAAGAAGTTTTTGTGTTCAGTCACCGACCCAGATCTCATCTCTTGCGAATACCACGGGAAAAGCGGAGATAAGATTCTTTTCTCATAACAACTCTATTATTATTCCCTGCCATCTGCCAAAAGAAAAAAGAAAAGAGCTTTACTTTTCTTTTGTCTGCCATCTATCAAAAGAAAAGAAAAAAAATGAGCTTCACTTTTTACATCATTATGTTTTCTTAAATTATTTATTTATTATTTTATTATTTTATGATATTTATCACATGATCATTATCAACGTGGCAAAGCACATTACGCAAAGTTTTATTATTTAAAGTTGTGGTGATCTATCACTGGCTCCTGCACATTGCACAATACAGATATGTGTGTTTAAATATTTTATTATAATGCTGATAATCTTTCGGCACACAACATGTCATTAAACTATGTCACTTATACAACATGTGATTTAACACACAACTGAATAAATCATTTATTCATAGAAAGCACACAGTACAATATTTTGCCCTGACAAACTTTATCAATTTGATTTATTCATTATATAGTCATACTTATGCTGCCACTTATTGTCAGGAATTATCGAGCAACCAGCTCTACTGATCAACATTGTCGCTGATTAAAGAAGTCTAACAACTTTTCGGGGAGCACTATGGCTTCATATGCCCAAAAGAGGGGTCTTGGAAGAAGGCAGCATAAATAAAAACTTGTTCAGTTTTTATCTTTTGGAGACATCTGTATAACCCCACCAGAGGGTAATCATAAATAAAGAAAGAAGGCAACATGCCAAAAAAAAAGGGCAAAATGTCTGCAAGCCCAAAATAGTGGGCTGGAATGTTATGTGGAGGGCGAAGGCCCATATGCCCAAAAGAGCCAGGCCCTATGGTTTCAAACTCCAACCTTCATCCCTCCACTTAAGGTTCACCCTCTATTATCACCAACCAGGTGATCAAAAATACGTCCAGTACTCCAAAATTATTCAGCAGTCTGCCACTATTATCACCAACCAGGTGATCAAAAGTACGTCCAGTACTCCAAAATTATTCGGCAGCCTGCCGCTATTATCACCAACTAGGTGATCAAAAGTACGTCCAATACTCCAAAATTATACATGAGCATCACTCATGTCAATCATACATAAACATTCATGAGCATCACTCATGTCAATCATACATAAAACATTCATGAGCATCACTCATGTCAACATCCATGAGCATCATTTATGTCAATCAACATAAACATTCATGAGCATCACTCATGTTAATCAGCTTCGCAAGCTTCATTTACAAAGCTCTAGCTTCGAAAGCTTCATTTATAGAGCTCTAGCTTCGAAAGCTTCATTTATAGAGCTCCAGCTTCAAAAGCTTCATTTACAAAACCTCACCTATAAAACTTCACTTTCAAAGCTTCACCTACAAAGCTTCAGTGCATGGTATACAAAGATCGCCTCCGAACAACCACCACTTCGACCCATACATTGATTGAATTTGAAGTCTCCAGCCAACAAACTCTATTGACTAAAGACTTGGGGGACTACACTATGTACCATATATTGGGCTTCCGCAACTGGGCCTCATGAAAAATACTTAGGGGACGTAGCTCATTATTTATGTACTGAGAAGCGAACCCTTATTTTATAAAAGGGACTCCCTCACTATCATTAGAGAGCACCCATTATTCATGTATTGAGGATCGAACCCTTATTTTCTAAAAAGGACTCCCTCACTTTCATTAGAGAGCACCCATTATTCATGTATTAAGAAGCGAGCCCTTATTCTATAAAAGGGACTCCCTCACTTTCATTAGAGAGCACCCATTATTCATGTATTGAGGAGCGAGCCCTTATTCTATAAAAGGGACTCCCTCACCATCATTAGAGAGCATCGCCGCCTGCTGAGCAACCGTCTCGCCGCGAGCATCACTCCTAACCCAGCACTTATGTATTGAGGAGCCAGCCTTTATTCTATAAAAAAAGACTCCTTCACCTTCAACGCCATAAGCCGAACCAACCAAGACCACATAAGCCATAAGCCGAGCAGCCTCGCAACATGTGCTACTTCTAGTTGAGCATCATTGCACATTGAGCACCGCCTCATATCGAGTATCAGTTCTAGACGACATCTAGTTACTTCGGCCCACACATGGACTGAATTTCAAGTCTCCAGCCAAAAAACTCTCTTGACTAAAGACTTGGGGGACTACTGTTTGTACCATACTTAGGGCCTCCATATTTAGACCTCGTACAAATACTCGGAGGACTCAAATGTAATTATGTAATAAATGAAAGGGCAAATATGTAATAAGTGAGGAGCTCTTATTTTATAAAAGGACTTCTCACTCTCCTCATTAGGGGAGGTAAAGTTTAGGCCATGGGAAGAGAGAAAATAGGCTAGAGAGCACATTGCCTCTAGCCTTCTTGTATATTCACCATTCAGAGTGAAACAATATCAACATTAGTGTGGATGTAGCCCAAACATTAGGGTGAACCACGATACATCTTGTGTTCTTTGCTTTATTGCAGATTCACGGTCGGATTTACGTTGTCCTAAGACCTTCCGATTTTGTGCATCAACACATGTCAATAATAAAATATATAAAACATAAAAATATGCAAACCAAAATTTTGAAACGCGCTACTTAAAGATAGGAACATTAAAAAAAATTCTTTATGACTATAAGCTAGTGAGAGCCTAGGTCATCAAGCCCATAGTTTCTTTATGCTTGGAAAGAAAATCTCAACCCATAATCTTCATTTCAAAAGAATATCTTGCATAAAAATTTTCATCGACATGCGTAGAATAAAAAACATTTATCATTATTTTATTTCTAAAACGTTTTGAAGTAGACACTAGCACTAAAAATAATGAACACTTCAGGCTATCGGCAATAGAACTTTGGCTTTTTGAAATTTTGTAATTTGTTTGTTTTCTTTTGGCAACAAGTTGTTTTATTAATTGGGTTCATTTGACTTGGGCCTCCAAATACGTGTTAGGCAAGAAATAAAAAACATTATTACAATACATTTAATCAAGAGTTGATGACATGTATTTTCCAATAAATATTATTACGTGTCAAGCTTGAACGATCGAGCTGGGCTTGAACCTACTTTGAGCTGTCTTGTACAAATTTTTGAACTACTCACAAGCTTTACAAGCCGAACATATTAATGCAAAACAAAGCTTTGACAAGCTAAACACGAGCAAAACTCAGTGCAAGCTCAAATTGTTTTGAGCCAAGTCCTAAATAAGTCATAGTATTTACAAAATTGAATGGACCAAGCACAAAAATGCAAAAATTATAAAGTCTAATTGGGTTAGGTACAAATTGAGTGGCATCGTGACACAAATAAATTCTTGACGATTGACAATGCTATAGTAGTGACACGCAGATGGAGTTCCTTATGTGCTTTGTCACAGTGAAGAACAAAAGGGAAAGACAATCAGAGCAACTCCAGCATTGCAAAGGCCCCTTAGGGCAAGTCATTATTGAATAGCCTCCAATGAACAGTAACTACCTTTAATGAACAGTAACTAGCTTTTGTATCTCCACCCCTACACTGAATAGACATGGCAATAGGCAATAAAATATTAGTATTTTTTATTTTATAAAATAATACAAAATAATTTTATTTGTAATTTCGAATAAGATTTTTAATCGTTCTCGTTGCGCCACGTGTCACAATCCAAAAAGACAATTTTTGGTGATAGATGTTGATAAGATATTTATCCAATGTCATTGTGCCACATGTCGTTACCTTTTCATAATCGTTGAGGATAGATTTCCGATAAGATTTTTAACTAATCACGTCGTGTCACGTGTCACAATCTGTTTACAATCTTTGAGGATAAATTTCGATCAGATTTTTAATGAATGATGGCATGTCACGTGACATTATCTACAACCTAATCCTTTCTTTTTCCTCCATATAACCCACCATACATCCTAAGAAATCACACACCAAAATCAAAATCTCTATCAATATTCATAGTTTTTGCTTCCTTCTTACAATGTCTTCTTCAAGGATGTTGTGGGAAATCAATGAGCAAGATAAAGAATTGTAAAAGTAAGGGGAAGAAATGTTTAATCTCCAGGTGGGTGAAAATGTGATGGAAGAAGAAGAGGATGAGGAGCGTAAAAGGAAAGATGACGAAGCAAGAAGCCAAAGAGCTTCACATTCCTGTCCAGTCAACCAAGTTATGGCTCAGATCTCCAGGCCCAGTCATTCCACAAACCTTGATAGAAGTAGGCAATGATGAGGTATGGATCTCTTGGACGATTATTTTGTCCGTAACAGTGCATTCCCTGATACGTACTTTAGACGCCGTTTTAGAATGGAACGACATTTGTTCAACAAAATCATGATTGCTGTTTGCAACCATGATTCTTACTTTGTGCAAAAGAATGATGCTTTTGGTGTTATGGGTCTCCTTCCTGAGTAAAAAATTATTGTTGCCTTACGGATGCTTGAATATGAAGCATCTGTAAACCAAGTGGATGAGATAGCGAGGATGGGGAAATCAACCATTCTTGAGTCCCTGATGAGGTTTTGCTCCGCAATTGAATCTATCTAGATCGCAGAGTACCTCTGGAGACCTACTGAGATGGACTTGCAAAGGCTCCTAAAGAAGGCCGAGATACGAGGTTTTCCTGGGATGATTGGAAGCATCGACTGTATGCACTAGACTTAGAAAAACTATCCAAGTGCATGGCAAGGAGCTTATGGGGATAGAAAAGGAGCAAAAGTATCATTTTGGAGG